GAGTTAGGTGGGGGGAAAGTGGGTACATTTTAAAAAACATCTATTTTCTCATTTTAAATTGAGAAAATCTGTTTAATATTTTAGCGCCATCTATTTATTGGGGTAGCATTTTTATTTCATTTTTAGAAACTGATTTAGAAAAATTATGTTTACAAACTATCAGTTTGTCAACTTATACTGTATGTGAGTTTAAGCAATTGATGAACTTTCTTCTATCATTGAAAATTGTCGAAAACTATTAATTTTAGTTCAAATTGGTAAAGAGACATCTGAAGAATAGAAATGTAGGAATAAATTTCAAAATTCTATTTGTTATGAATTGTTTTCTGGGGTGGGGTAAAATGGGTATATGGATAGGTTTAGATAAGTGTTATGTGATTCTTTTTTTTTTTTTTACTTCTGTGCTAGCTTTAGTAAGTATCTAATTCTCTATGTTTTATAATGAAATAGATAAAAAAGAAATAATTTACTTGTTTGATTTCCCTGCGTAGTAATTTTAACACTGAAAACAGAATTTCTTTCAAATTTTATTTTTTAAAGAGAAGAATGATAGAGTAGGGAGGGGAAATAACAGTATAACAGACATCTTAAACAATGAAAAAATTTAACAAACTAGTATAATGGTACAACTTAGTCCGCATAGATGTATTTTCATGCAAATTTCTGCCTTCATATGGCATTTTTTTCTTATGGAAAACAAAATAAATTCCTTAAAATAACTAAATTTAATAAAAGTACTTGCTTGCTATAAATAGTTATAACACTTTAAATTACCACTAAGCACTTTAAATTACCAAAAAAAATTTTTAGTATTTATATTTTTCAAATATAATTATGCTACATTTATTTAGGAGCAGTTTTATTTCTAAAACAATATTTACATTGAAATATACACTAATTTTAGAACTATACCCACTGGGTACATAAAAATATGTTCTTTTTAATGCCTCACTGTAAGAAAAAAAAATAGGCAAGTTATGCTTCATATTTAATCTACGTGAATCCAATGCACATAAAATAGATAAAAAATTTCAGTGAAATAAATTTTACGTTTCGGTTTTAGAGCTTTTTTTAACGCTTGATTTTATACCCTATTCCTTTATGAACAAATAAATATGAGTTGTTATCTAGATTTGTGCGAACCTGTCTGTTACAGAAAAGCACTTAATTTTGAGGCACTTTGTGGTAGTCACTCCAATTTGTTTGAAAAAAAAATTCTGCATTGTTTATTGATCTAACTTTTTTTTTAAAAAAAAAAAAGATAGGTAGTGAATTCAAATTACTAGACGAAAGATGATTCAACAAACTACATAAAAAATTTTATGTAAATCTGTTTAAAAAAATTTATTCTGATAATCATGAACTTAAAAACTACTGCTTTTAAAAAAATTAGTTTAAAACTTTAAGTTAACCCTCTGACGCAGATTAAAGCTTTAATCACAAGGAAAAATATATCTCGTTATTTTTTAATTTTAAAAAACAGTAATAGTTACTAGTGAAATCTGTTTGATTATCGCAATTTTATTTGTACTAAATAATGAAATCAAAAAACAAAAAAAAAAAATTGAAACAAATTTTTTTTTAATATTTAAAAATTTATCAATAATTGATTTTTGTAAATTAAAGAAATTTCAATTATGAATAACTGTGTCTCTTAGATCTAAATAATTGTAAATAAGTGTGAATGTGAGTCGTGTTCAAAAAATTTAACCTCTAACGCAAAAAAAGACACCGGTGTTCTATGGTGTATTTCATAGGCATAAATCATTAAAAAAGGTAAATATAATATTTTTCACTCATTTTGACCTAAATTAATACAAAATAACAAAAAAAAATATTTAAGAAATGTGTTTTATAAAAATTCTGAATCAAACGGTTAGCTATCGGCGTTATTTCGAGTAAAGCAGCGTGTTTCTTTAATACCAAAACGTAAATCACTTTATGCAGAAATACCTTTCATTTTTTAAATAATTCAGGGTAAATCTTACTTTTATAACTAAGAATGGATTCATAATTTTTTTATGCTTCGTTCAAAAATTAAAAATACTCTGTAAATTAAATTTTAGAATACTAACCTTGTTTCCCCCCCTCCCTTTTATTTTACAGCCGATTTCAATGTCAAGTTTCAAACACGAGGCAACTTTAGTTTGTTCAATGTCATGATCTGTGTATGTACTGTATATGAAGTCTTCAATAATGAGATAATTATATTCGAGTCAGCTCATAATTTGTATTCCAGTTACGTTTTAGAAATGGCATTACAGGTTTTAGATAGTGGATAGACCATCTGATTCATTAGCTAGTTAAAACCAGTCTTAAGAGATCACGTGCTTAGATAGCACTATCTTTTTTTTATTCAATAGTATGGCTGTGGCATATAAGCAATAATTTTCTTCTTAAAATAAATTTTCTTTCGAAGAATAATATTTTTTTTTTTGTTTTATTCTTTCTTTGCTTTATTTTCTTTCTGCAAATGACTACTCGTATTGGCCTATATTTCAAAAATTTCATTAACTTTGACGATTATAATTATTTTTATCAGATAGTAAATAATATAACTCAAATAATTATTGAGACTTTTATGGCCATCAAAGTGTACTGAATAAACTTTAATACGTCAAAAATAAGTTTTATTATATTGGTTCATCTTAAAATATTAATCACTTATATAAAAGTATCACTTTTATAAAAAGGTGTGGCAAGCTAGTTTTGTTATTGAGGTTTGTGTAAAAAGGTAAGAAACATATTAAAATGTAACTTTAATAAATTAATTTAATGTGCTAATATTTTGAAAGAATATGTGAGAAATTCATCCCTATGTAAAACGATTTCGCTGTTTTGTCCCTTACGTATGAAGAGAAAAAAATTGGTAAATATGCATGTATGCATAAAATAACTCAACACCAAATGTGAATATATGTCCATAAAAAACCTGTGTAAAATTGTAGTTTCTAATTGTCCCTTTGACAGAGATCGTTTTTTAAAACATGTAAGAAATTAGGACAAAAATCTATTACGTGGATGACTTTAAAAGTATAAAACTATTTTGATCATGGACTAGGTCTATTTCATCAGGCATAAATTGTACGTGTTTAAAACTGTTGAAGAAATCGAAGACCTTTTAGAAAGAGACCTTCGAAAAAATTATATTTTTGACCTATAGTATCTGCAGTTTTAAAAAAAATCTAATTCAAATTTTCGAACATTATTTCTTTTTAAATTAGAAAAATATGCAGGTGTATGCCTGAAAACTTTTCGCATTTCAGTGACGATTTTTCCCAATGGCGGTGAAATGTGAATTTAAAATTCAGTTGCAAATAAATTAGTTTTATGTCTTGAAAAAGGTTAAAACGCAAGATGGTGCGATTATTTTGCATACATAGATTTTTTTTCTACGTAGTAGTGGTCAATATCATTCTAAATTAAATTTATAAATCAAAAGAATTAAATAAGAAAAAAGAAACATCAGCTTTGCAAACACGTTAAATGTAAAATCTTCCAGAAAGTTCTGAATAATTGGAAATGCTCTCACGAATAACAATGGATTCTTCAAAATTTCTAAAAATTGTTAAAACGTTGAACAGATATCACGATAATGCACTAAAATTATACAGAGATACTTTTAAAATAAGAGAGATCATTTTGTTTTGAAAGTGACTCCGCCATAGCAATGATAATTAGCAAATTTTACAAAAGGCATTAGAATATGCCATTAAGGAGAACACGGTGTGAATAATTCAGATAGAAAAAAAGATAAAACTTTCATAAGTCTTATTCAAAAGCTCGAAAAACGTTCTTTTCCCTTTTAGTGTTCCCTCCATTATTGAAATCAGCGACCGTGGAAACGAGGGGACAGTTTACATTTTATTTATGAAGGTACGCAGCACAAAGATCAAAATTTTTCACTTAATATTAGTGCATTTAAAATTAAAAGAATTTTTTAAATCGAAAATTAAATTTAAATTAATTGATTTATTTAATTGATAAATTGTAAATTAATTGAGAATTTTTTTCTGTCTCTGAAATCTAAAAGAATATGAGATTTTGCATGATTCCAGGGAGAGAAATCTGATTCCAAAATGTTTTTGAAGCGGATATTTTATATGACAATTAGATAAAAAAAATCTCAGAAATGTATTTTTATGCCTTTAAAATTCATCAATTTCGAACTAGTTTTGAAGTAACTAAATAGTTTATATTAACGGTTTTACGGATTTTCAGTAAAATTAATCGGAATTAAAATTATAGTTTTTAGTTTTGTATTCTTATGACTGAAGGTAAAGACAAAAGAAACCGTTGTCCGTTAAAACTAGTATACCTTCGACTAATGTCTACGGAAAAATAAAGGGCATCACCATTCAGAAACTATATAAAAAAATATATATATATATTTATAAGCCTTTAAAGCTGCTCATCTAAAAATTAACAAGGATAGAGTTGCCTTACAATAAGAATAAAGACTGTTAAATAAAGAAAGTTTTAATCGTTCGTTATTTATTCTTGATTTAGCGAAATTTTGAAATTTAAAAAAATAGTGCTTTGTAATCTAGACTTATTAGAATTCACAGGGAGAGAAAAAGAAATTTTGAAAAATTTATTTTGTTTAGACGAAAAACAAGTTTAAAAGAACGCTTATGGTGAAATCGGTTGTAATACTATGTATGAAGAATGTATTTAATTTAAAATGGGGAAAATGTTTTTACAGCTAATATATATTCTTTGCACTTTTGAATTAAAACATTTCTGTAGACTAGTGAATTATTAAAAAATTTTATTGTGAATGTGTTTCTATTTTTGGTTTTAATGTGTCAATTTTACATGTAATTTTTAAGCAGTAAGATATTATCAATGAAAATCGAAAATAACATAGATAACAGAAAAGCAAAAAGGAAGTCTATTCTTTCAGCAAAAAATATGGTTATTATCAGGTTTAAGGAATATTTTTCTAGCACTTTCCTATCACATCTAATTTAGAGAAAATAATCAAAAACGATTGTTTTAATCTCCATCAAAGATAACCCCATTACCCACAATTTAATCCTATTACGCTTTAAAGAATAGCATCAAATTCTCGTAAGGTTTTTATCAGGAAAATCTGAACTATCGCTATTAGATAATATTTAATTTTGTTATTATCAAAGAAAAGCAATTTTAAGAAGCAAATCATATTAGGTTAAAGTTCATTTCTTATCAATTAAGATAAACTTTCAAAAGTTATATTTATAAATAACGCAAGGTAGGATCGGATTTTCATTACTGGTTCAACAATACTGATAAAAAAAAATTTATAAGTTAACAATTGGCGAAGAACGGTATTTGATTTAGCTATATAGAGTCTAGAATATTTAAAAATAATCGAAATAGTTAGGATTTTTAATATTTATAAGTAGTTATGCCTCTTCAGCATCTGCCTAGTTGACGTCCAAGGAAAGTGAAAGTAAGAACAAAATTTTGTTATTAATTAGTTGCGAAATTTAATTTTAGAAATTTATACGAATTGTCTAGATTTCATTGTGTTATAAATTGCTTAATTAGATAAACTTCAAACTGAAGAAAAGAAGTGTTTTATTTAAATATATATATTTTTTTCAAAAATGAAAAAAGTTGTTATGCAATTATTTTATTTATCAGTTGTCTAGTAAGAGAAGCAAGATATTTGGATTAACTAAAAAATTAAGATCTAGGCATAGATGGAATATTTAATTCGGAGTATACAGGTCCTTTTCCTATCCATCATGTATTATTTAAAAACATGAGGTAAATTGTATTATAAATAGTTTAGGTTTACAGGTTTTATATATATTTTTTTATATTGATTATTAGCAGCGGTGGCGAAAACTTTATAAAATTAAGTTTATAAAATCAAAATGGTAAAACATCAAATTTGCTTAAATATTAAAAAAAATTATTTGAATATAAAAAATTTGCTCTCTGCAAAGTAGTATTTAATATAATTAAAATGTCCATACAATTCAATCATAAATCTTCCCCTACTTTTTTATAGTGTTAATTTTTTGCTCATTTTTGCATATTTATAANATTAAAGCGAATTATCTAAATTTCATTGTGTTATAAATTGCTTAATTAGATAAACTTCAAACTGAAGAAAAGAAGAGTTTTATTTAAATATATATTTTTTTTTCAAAAATGAAAAAAGTTGTTATGCAATTATTTTATTTATCAGTTGTCTAGTAAGAGAAGCAAGATATTTGGATTAACTAAAAAATTAAGATCTAGGCATAGATGGAATATTTAATTCGGAGTATACAGGTCCTTTTCCTATCCATCATGTATTATTTAAAAACATGAGGTAAATTGTATTATAAATAGTTTAGGTTTACAGGTTTTATATATATATTTTTTTATATTGATTATTAGCAGCGGTAGTGAAAACTTTATAAAATTAAATTTATAAAATCAAAATGGTGAAACATAAAATTCGCTTAAATATTTAAAAAAAATATTTAAATATAAAAAGTTTGCTCGCTGCAAAGTAATATTTAATATAATTACGATGTCCATGCAATTCAATCATAAATCTTCGACTACTTTTTTATCGGGTTCATTTTTTGTTCATTTTTGCAAAATAATTTAGGCTTATAACATAATGGAAAAATTCAGTGTGCTTTGTGTGTTTTTTTTTTTTCTTTTAGGAAAATTTTTAAAATTTTGTTATTTTAAATTTATGATAATTTCTGTCATTTTTAATTTATGTTATTAGTTTTTTTGATTTCATTAAAAAAATTGCAGCACTATATGAATTATGCAATTTCAGTTTTAAAGGGCTAATAATTTTTATCAAATAAAATATTATTAATTTAATTTGTAATTTTTATTTAGTAAGTATTTTTTTCTCACTGGTTCGTAATTTTTTAACTACTGTACTTCGTCATTATTATTCTTATAATTTATTTTCGATATGTTTCTTATAGTCTATTTTCATTAAAAATTCGTTTTTAAAGAAAATACATAACTTTTATCAAGCTAACGTTTTGCAACTTTTATTCAGCAAAGTAAATGTGCTTTTCTCAATTTGTTTCAATGTTTAAAAAAAGTGTCATATGTTTCCTTATCTCTTAATTTTTCAGACAACAAGAATCTGTTCTTCCCTTCTTATTTAGCCTTCATTTTTATTTTATTTATTTAAATTTTTAATTTATTTTTTGACAAATTGATTCGTTTTTGATTATTTCTTTATTTGAACCTTTCCTCAAAGGGGGGCGACAAAATGTATTGTTTTCACTGTAACGTATTGTGATGCATATTCGGTATGGTTCGGTGTCAGGTTGAACGCTGTGCTAATGCTCTGACAGGTGGAAGGAATGCACCCATTGTATGATTTCGCATTTTCTGAAATAGTTCAAAATTATTTATCACTAGCGTTTTTTAAACATAAAAACTTCACTTATTTGTTATATTAAGAACTTTGTTAAGTTAACAATCGTTAAGCAATTATCTTTTCATTGAAAAAATTTTAAGTTTCTAAAGAACAGAAAATCTTTATCTGAATAATTTATCACAATTTTGCAATTCTTTAAACTATGGTGACATAATATAGAAATTGCAGGTATCCCATTGTATAACGCGTGAAAATTAAATTTTTAACGAGAAAAAAATTTTTAAACCTATAAAAAGTTTGCGCATATTACAGGCACAGTTCGGCTATGATACCTTGTGGAGGGCTCAAATATGCAAATGGCACAAATTATATTTAAGCAAGGCCGAGAGAAGTTGAAAACTTATCTCATGCTCTTCGACCATGAGTCTTAGAACAGAGAAAATTGACCAAGTTTGTGACCCTATTCATAATGACTGACGATGGAAAGTTCGAGAAATTAGTGCTATAAGAAAGATGAGTTATGGAAGAATGCAAGGCATAATTCATGACGATTTGGAACATCGAAAAATCTCAACGAGGTGAGTGCCTAGAATTTTGAACACAAATCAAAAGGATGCAGGAAAAGACATTTATCAAAAGCTGCATAAAGCCGCTTTAATATTATAGTAACATTACAAAGTTACAGGCATTACACTGAGAAAAAATTTAGCATCCTCCATGTAGCCGAGACTTGACACCTTCGGACTACCATTTGTTTGGACCTCTTAAAGATGCCTTGGAGGAGAGAGATTTTCATCCAATGAAGATGTAGAAGATTTTGGCAATTGGTCCATTACACGGCCTACTTCTTTGAATGCCACCGAGATTAAAAAAACTTCCAAAACGTTGGTCAAAGTGTACACAAGTTCGAGGAAATTGTGCAGAAACATGATTTATGGATTGATGATTATGATGAAAAAAGTTTGTTTTTTGAAATTACGATTTTAATATTTAGTTATTAAAAAATTTTCTTTTCTTTTTTTTTTTCTTTCTTTCATTTTTTTTAAATTCACCTTCAATATGTGATTTCCAATTTCACAACTTATTCTCTAAGCAAGTGCTTCTCATCCTTTTTATCACCATGGACCGATCAATGTTAACACCGAGGGGGTGGGGTTGAATGCTTATATTTTAAATTATTAATTTCTGATTAATATTTTAATTATAATTTTAAAAACTTAATATTTTAACTATAATTTTTTGCAATAATACTATAAGAAAAATTGAATAAATATGAATACAGCTTAAAATCAAGAAACAAAACTTCCAAAAATTATTAACAAAAAGATAATTTAGTTGTCTTTTCTTTTCATTTTTTGTTAAATTCCAGTCAAAGAAATTATTTTAAAATTTCTAAAAAGTCACACATGCAAAATGAATAACCTCAATATGTGGATCTTATGACAATTCAGCTTGTTTTAACTTTTTTTTTTTTTACTTTCTAATTTTTTTGAGCTTTTTTTTTCCAGCAAATTTTGAGCATTTCACCGTCTCCTCCCGTTTTTTGCACTTAATCTCCAAATCTGAAATCGTAAATAATTTTAAGACTTCATTGGCGTACTGGAAAGCTTCTGCTACCAATTAAGTGTATGTTGATAACAATAAATATCTTGTTTTTTCAAGCTATCTTACATTGCTACTAAAGAGAAATAATTGTGCTACCACTTTTTAATCTATTTGGAGAAAAAAAATCTTGCCTTTATAAATGACGCTCCTTTAACCGCTAATGGTTTAAATAAACAATTTCCGGTTTTCTCTGAGTTACACAACAAAATGACAAACTGATTTCAAAATAAGATTATCAAAGAAAGTGCAGTCACCAGAAATGTGTGATAGTAAGAATAAAATTAAACACTTCTGTGAAGTGGAATTTAAAATAAATACGTAAAAGAACTGCTGGTGTGAAAATATAAGTTTAAAGCATATTTATAAATGATACCTTATCAATTATCTACCTAAGAGGTATATGAGCGATATAAAGTGTGTCAGTTTCTACCAGTTTAGACAAGACATAAAAATTTTAAGAAACATTAAGTTTATCGACTCTAAGCAAAGAAACCTTATGTACCCAAACACATGTTTTTTCTTCTTCTTGTTTTGTGTTTACGATTGAAGAAAAGTAAAAACTGATAAGAGAGCCACACCGCTTTTAAAAACGAATAGAGCCAAGATTAGAATTTTTTTGACTCAATCAAAAGAAGATAGCTCTATTTAGTGTTGGTCACGTGAAAGATGTGCCTCTTTTTGGTGGTCACGTTATCAGCTTGCGTGTATGAATTTAACTGCAATGTCACTTGACGCAAAAGATTAGCAAGTTAGCACGTGCACCCTCAAAGATAATAATTATATCTTAAAATTTATACTTTTTTCCACCTCCTAACGTATTTCAGATATGCCAGAAAATGTAAAATAACAGGGGCGTAGTGAGAAAATTATATCTATATAACAAAAGAAGACCTCGAGAAGAGACTAGCAAAACCTCCCCCAGTGACCGCGCAAACTTCAGCACCAAATGCGGAAAAGGTTTAATAAGGCTCTTATTTAGATCTTATTAGCTCTTATTTCGAATGGCTCTTATTTAGAGAGTTCTTTTTGGCGATCTTTGAAAGAGATCTACTACCTTATCTTGCAGTCAGAGTGAACTAAAGATTGCTTATTTTAAGGAATAGAAAGTTAAAAAAATTTTTAAAAATTATTTTATAAAAAAAACTAAGCATCTTGAACAAACAAGTCTCTTCTCATTTTTTATGGCTAACTAATTCTTAAGATCAAAGCTTAACCCCGTCCCGCCCCCATTAAGGGGCATCCGGAGAATACTGTAGACTCTAAGTGTGCGCACGTTGACCTCTCAGCAAAAGAAAAAGAGGATTCTAAAAGGTAGGCTTAGTGGCGATCCATGGCAACGCGTCGGAAAAATGGTCAAGGGAGGCAGAAGCAACTCCAGGTAAAACCCTGGTTGATGTAGGTTGGGCGCCGAGCTAATTCCTAAGATATAAAATTAAATGCAAACTTAAACAAACAAAAAACATAACTGTTTAGTTATTTAAAATAGTTCTATCATTCATGAATGGTAGGTTTGGTTTTACATATATCAGTAAAGAACATTTTTATTGACGCTAAATTTTATTCATCGATCATGACGCCAACACATGTGGCATTTCCGCACCAGGAGAATGCCACTCAGTTAAATAAAGAAAATTTGTGCTTTTATAATTTTGAAGTCAATGTAACCGCTAAGAACAACATCCATTAACGACCATTTTACTATGAAATAGAGAGTGATCGCGTTCGAGAGGTTTCACTGGAAATTGAAACTCAAAACACATAATTCTAATCATTTTACGAAGGTCATTCGACTCCTCTATTTCCTTTCTTAAACAAATCTGTCTTGATGATCTGGAATTTTGTTTCATTTATATAGATGCCGATTTCCTTGTTGACGACATGAGTAGCTTACTATCTCTCCATAGAGTGTGGAAATGCATTTTGCCCTAATTTGTCTCTCTCGATTGCTACGGTTTTTCTGAATTTGTTTTTCACCTTTTCTCACTCTCGGCTACCACGGTTTGTCTGGTTTCGTTTTACACTTTTATTTTCCATTCTTCGTTGGAAATCGTACGCTTTCTGTTTCAAATCATTTTTGTTTCCTCATTCACATCTAGCGAGTCTAGAGAATGGTCACCTATTTTTACGCTCTCAAAAAATGTTGACTTTTTTCACATATTCAAGATTTTAGAGAACTTGAAATTTTTAATTCAGTTAAACCTGTTTTGCGTTTGTTACATCCTCCTCATGTATTATGATTTGTCAGATTTCAAAAGCGTTATTTGTTTTGTTTTATTCTCTCTCTTATTTATTGATTTATCAACCCATAACCTTGATTCTACAGTGAACTTTCCCTTTGAATGTTTCTCACACAGTTCCGATCATTGTCCTGGGAGAGTGAGAGCCTGATTAGAATAAAAACCATCTTCCCACAAACGCAAAACACTCACCAATCAAACTCTTCATTTTTCTCTGCAAATTTGCATGAACCGTATTCATTAGAATGTGGGGCTTCATCTTTCTTAAACCAGTCTTCTTTGCGTTAAATAGAGAGGAAACATAAACTATAATAAATTTGTCGCAGTGCACTACAATTAATTAAATTGCACCAAAATGTTAACTGGTTTCGGTCACCTTGGTATTGTTAAATATTTAGCTTTGCCGTGATTATAATTAAATAATTAAGTCTCTTCATCAGACTCTGCTTTTTCTTCAAATTTCAGCAGTAGTTCTTTTTAAATCTAGAAAGAAAAAAAAAAATTTTTAATGATAAAATAAAATTTTTATTAGAAACTAAATAAAAAAACAATTATACATTGACGTTTGGGAAAAACTCAACACCATGAAGAAATAATGCCAACTGAACTAAACTTACATGAAATGTAAAGTGAGATAAGACATTGGAAATTATTAGAATTCCAAAGCGATTGCGCATATACCATGATTGTGAGTGTTTACTTATAATGGGTTTATTTTTATGTGAAACAATTGACTATGAAACAATTACACTGGCAATCGAAATGGGCTATAGGAGGCGTAGAGCAGCTCTCTACTTATGGCAACATTCACAAGCTTTCACCATTATTGTGTTTTGAGTCAAAATAATTATGCTAGTTTCTGTCTTGATTTTTAAATAGATTAAAAACTTTTAAGTCCTAAAATGACATGGGGTAATGAAAACTTCATTAAAACATAGTTCAAAAGAAAGCGTCATGAAAGTTTTAAGAAATATTTGTGACAAGTAAATACAAAAAATATTAAGAAAGGGGGAAATGTCGTATTACTATACAACTGAGGACCAGGAAAGAGTTAAGCCATGGAATCGGTCTTCCCCCTAGATGGCGTATTCGAGTGTTGCGAAATCGAATTAATAGATTAATAAATACGAATATTAATAGGCATCGATTTTGCCAAAAATGTAAAGATTTGCGAAGCAGAAAAAAAATGAAAAATTCCTTTTGGATTTTTTTTATTTTTAAAAAAAGCTTATTTCTCAAATGTTAATTTTTTGCATGTAATAATCATTTTTCATCATGTTTATTAATTTTAATAGTTTTTGGCCTTTGTTTTTCAGAATCTGATAACGTGGTGACACCACCTGAAAAACCTCTGACGTCATTAGTAAGTTTTCATTTCGTTTTTTCAATATCATTTTTGATCTTAACTGTAACTGATTACTTTGACAGTCAGCAGCAGAGTCGTGCTGTCTGCAAAATCAAAACTAATGTTGTTTTGCTAGATCAATGTGCTGTTATACTAAAATAATGTCTTTAACTCACGTCTTACTACTATGTTAATTTATTGTTATAACATTTGTTATTTAAATGCTTGAGTCTGGAAGGAAAATGATTTCACTTTTTCATCTTTATATTCTATTGTACTCAAACTCTGAAAGCTGATGAGTAGCTCATGCCTTTTTTTACATACTTAAACTATTTTTTCTCCATAAAACCGTATATCAGGTGAGAAATTATTTTTATTTATGATTTAAGTTTAACCTAATGCTTTATTTTTTCATTGCCCAAAAATATATCGGAAGTTTTATGTTAATGTTTATTAAAAATGTATAGTAAAGAACTTCCTTGGTTAATAAATGATTAAACTTGCATTTAAACATTTATTAATGCTAGCAATTTATTTGGTGTTTTATTTATTGGTGTTATAATAAACTTCTATTTTATTCAGAAGTGTTTCTTAACAGATATGTATGCATATACATATAGTAATTCACAACGGATTATGCATTTATAAAAATAAAAAAATTTAAAGTTTTTTATGAAGTTAAATGATAAATATATTAACTCATGACTTCAGTATTTGTTCACTTTCTGAAAGTAGCTGTTCTGAAAGTAGACCTTCTCCCTTGATACCAATGAACTTTATGTTGTAACAAATATTTTTAAATTTAGAAGCACTTGTAAACTATCTTTATTTAAGAAATAAGTACATCATTTTTCTTATTCTTATTTAACATTTTTTCTTTTTTTTTATTATCATTTTTCTATTTTTTTTTATAATCTTTATTTCTGAAGTAAGAAGTTTATTTTGTCTATTTGTACTTTTATTATCTTTATTATAATTTGAAATTCATTTTTTTAGAAACATCCTTAAAATAACAATAATTGAAACAATATTGTTGATGTTAAAATTCTGTAAATGTTTTACGCTGTAACATGGTTTAAAAAGTTTTTGACATACGTCAGTTTCTAACAATTCAAAACCCTGTATGAAAAATTGACAAAAACCTGTAGTATAAATATTATTATTATTATTTTAAATGGCGCATTGCTTGTAATTTTTCAGTTTAAATTTCTGTTATTTTTGTAAATGCAAATTAATATGTTGAAAAGAAAATGTCTTGGGGGAAAAAAATCGTTCTATTAGTAGGAATTTAAATGTATTTGAAATAAAGACCACTATTTTTGACAGAAGATCAAATTATTATTTGTCGCCATTCTTAGTATGAAATGTAAAGTTTAAAAAATTAAATTTTGAGATATGCTGAAATTTTTGTTATTTTTATTAAAATTTAGGCTTAACTTTTTTTGTCAATTTTTTTTTATAAAACCTAATCTAATATGGATTTTTGTTGCGACTTCAATATAAAAAATTATAGCAATAAAACAATATTTCCATTTCAATAATGTGAGAACTTAATTATAATAATTACTCTATATTCAGGGTATCTGCGAACCTGGAAAGTCATGAATTTCGGTATTGAACAAAATTAGTCATGAAATGTCATGATTTTAACTATTTTCATGTCATAACTGTTTTCATGGAAAGTCATGGATTTAGGTCACCAAATTGGTCTAATTTTTAAAGTAGAATCCCCTCCCCCCCCAATTTCATGGCGTTCGGAGTATCTGAATTTCTAACAAAATCCCCACTCGCAGTCATATTTTATTAAAATATAAAATGTTTTTATCATGTCTTTTTAAAAAATGAGAAAAAACATCATTTCTAGAATGAATTATCTTTTAAACTTTTGTGATTTCAGAATTTTTGTTTATTTTTTTTATCAATTGAAAATTTTCACTAAAACAAGGCAGTTATTTGCGAATTTTTTTTATTCCGAAATGAGACCAGAAAAATCTGGAGTATTAATTTCCTTTCCAAGGAATTAGGAAAGTATCTTTAGAATATAATTCTGCTTAAAAAAAGATAAAAAATATTTGCTTCTGTGTTCTTTTTCACTTATTTTATTGCTTCAACTCTTTCTTTACTCTGTTTTTTAAATTTAAAATCTATAAAGATGCAGAGTATAACAGATTAAGTTATACCTATCATTTCAATTAATGTTATTATAATGCTTTCAAATTTATTGTTCTGTTTTTGTCGGGAGAAAATAGTAACTTCGTTNCTGTGTTAGCTAGAATTTTTTTAAAAGAACCTTGTGGTTTTTTCCACGCATTTACTGTGTTCCTCACTCTTTTGGGGAATATCATACAGTCAATTTCTAAATTTCTTTTAAAAGAAAAGATGAAGATACAGGGTATTTGCTTCATCTGCCCAAAACTATTAATATATATATTAATAATATAAAACTATTATGTGTTAATCGTATATTAATATATATATTTTAATGTATTTGTATGATATATATTATATATTTGTATGATTTAGATATATATATTTATATCTGTTATATTGAAATAATTTTTTAAATAAACTGCACAAAATTTTATATGTTTTTTTAAATTGTAATCATCTTAAGCTATTTGTAGTTTTAACTTATTTTTAATGTCAAAAATCGAAACCTGGCTCTAACTAGGAATTAATAGTCTTCTTTCAAAATAACAGCGATATTTCCCATGCCATATATTGTTGCTAAGTTGTACTAACTGCAATCACCAAGTTAAGCAACTTGCAGGGGTGGCTATGTGTTTTGATTTTTATATTTACCAAAGCATTGATTTTTTTTTTCTCATTTATTTGCAAAAGGAACTCCAAAGTTCTCAATTTCACATATCGAGAAATCTTGATAGAATTCTGTATTGTAGGTGGACATGGGATAGTTTCGACCTATAGGCAGGTTGGACAAAACTTAATTATTTTAATGCTTTTAAATATTTTTATTTCTTCCAAGCATGGTTTTTATCACTAGTACTTCAAATTCGGGCAGATTTCCATATCGTGATCTGTGGCAAAATAATTGCCAAGTCTTGGCAACCTCCGAGCAGAGGCTCACGAGAAACTAAAAAAAGAAAACATGACAGACAGGGATCAACTCAAAAAGTATAACTTGTAACCAAAACTTTGAAGATCAGTAGATTGCATTACTCATCATAAATGCATGAAGATGAAAGACTTCTATAAATCTATTGATAAGGATAGTGCAAAGAGAGTGACATGACAACCTTTTCACGTATCCTGAAGTCAGGAAATTGAATTTTAAAAAAAGTTTTGCTTAGGTGTAAAAATGTGGATGACTTTGCCAAATCATATTAAGAAAGGTTTCCTTTTTCATATCAATGAATTTATTAATTTTGATATGAATTTTGGACATACATATGAGTTGTGGTTACAAAAACATGAAAACTTTACTGCAATATATTTTATTAGTAAGTTTTTCATTTGTTACAAAAAGTATTAATCTAATTAAACAGTATGTAATGTAAAAAAATTGAAAAAAAAAAAAAGAATGTGGAATAATGCTTTAGGTTAAGCATTCAATCAATTCTAGAGGGTTTACTTTATGTAAATAATTGTTTGGTAGGGTGCAAATGTAAATAAATGTAATAAATGTTTGGTAGTGTGTAATCTCTTTCAAATTTCACTCCTCAAAAATTTACAAAGGAGTGATATTACTTTTTTTTTCTTTTTATATCATTTGGTCTGACTATGATTAAGTTGGGAATATATCCTGCATGTTTCCTTTTTCACCTGAAAATCAAAATTTTTACATACAAATGTTTACTTCTTTAGAAAAAGAAAAATTTATAATTAGTAGATTATATATCTTTCAGTTATCTTTAACATATACCTTAAGTCTATTACTCTCTGAAATAGTTACTTATATGTAATTTAAGGCCCTTATGAAAACAGTAATCTGGGCCTGAACTGTATGAACTGAGCCTGAACTATAGGTCTGAGCAATATTAGTTAGCCTGAATCTCAGTTAAATGAAAAAAAGAGATAAAAACTTATCCACACCCATTAGTACTGTATTAGTTTACTCATGCAAGAGTGTATAACTTCTGTGAAATTATACTTTTTCCTTTTTGCAACTAAATATTCTGAGGAGAAGGATTTATTAAAAGTTATTGCTCTTAACAATTTAATTTTTAGATTTAAGTGACAAAAAACATTTGTAGTTTAAAATTAATTACATAATTTAATTTTTTTTATGTATTTGAAGTTAGAAAGCTTCCTTGTTTGTCTCCTCAATTTCAATTTTTGAATATCTTTGCACTCCCAAACCTTATTTTTTATTATTATGACTATTTTAATAGCTTTTTTTATATTAGGTATACTTTTTTTCAATTTTTTATACTTTTTTTAATATTAATGCTTTTTTTAATGTTTATATTTTTTTACTGCTCAAAATGAAAATAAAACTTATAATAAGGATAGCCTGATTCTTCTGTATTATTGCCAGACTACTCTAATGATATTTTTACTAAACTCTGTTAATTATGCTTTATAGGTGGGTAATCTTTCCTGCAGTACAGAAGGGGGATCAAACTGTGATGATAAAAACATGTCTCGCTGGCTGCAAAGAAAGACTTCTGTTGATCAAGAGCAACGCTTAGTGTCGAAATGTGGAAGCAGCAGCTTTGAAGCATATCCGGATGAAACAGATACTGCTGATAATAACAAAGTGAGTCCAAATCTTGAATCAAGAGAACTTAAAGAATCCGCAAAAAATGTTACACTCTACAAAGGATTGCTCTACTCATCCGCATCGAGCGTATTTTTCTCATTGTCTTCTGTGATCGTGAAATATGTGAAAGACATTGCTCCAGCTGAATTAGCTGTCTTGCGATTTGTAGGAATCCTAATTTTCACTTTACCACTTGTTGTATATAGCAGAGAAGATCCGTTTGGACCAAGACCACTGAGACATTTATTGATTTTTCGAGGATTAGTAGGAGCTACCAGCTTGTTTATGCGTTTCGTTGCCTTTCGCTACTTGCCTATTGCAGATGCATCTGTTATTATTTTTAGCATTCCAGTATTTGTAGCTGTGTTAGCTAGAATTTTTTTAAAAGAACCTTGTGGTTTTTTCCACGCATTTACTGTGTTCCTCACTCTTTTGGGCATTGTGTTAATTACAAAGGTGCCTGTCATCCTGGCTAATAACTTACATCACTACACTACTACTTATTATTATGGTGTGGGGGCCGCCCTCGGTTCCACAATATTCGGAGCAAGCGTCTATGTCGTGATCCGAAAAATGACTGGGGTTCACCAAGCTATCATTATGTTCAATTTTGGATGGGTGGCTATTATTGAAACTACAGTTCTTACCTTCTTGACTGGATCCTTCACTGCTCCAGCTTGTGGTTTAGAACAATGGCTGGTCATTCTGCTGGGCATATTTAGTTTCTGTGGACAAATGCTTTTAACACTGGCATTAAAGCAAGAGCATGCTGGTCCAGTTGCCATTGTGAGGGCTGCTACTGATATTGTTTTGGCTTTCATATGGCAAATTTGGTTCTTCAATGAGATTCCTGATATCTGGAGTATCTCGGGTGCTCTCCTTGTTAGCTCTTGTGTTGTGCTGATCAGTATAAGGAAATGGGTCATGTCTCTGCCTGAAAACTCAACAATTAGGAAAAAAGCTTACTTGTTAACTATTTAGTATTTTTTTTCCCTTGGTCTATTATAATTTAAATTAAAATTCTTATTATTATTTCCTACTTATTTTTAAAAAATTTTAAATTATTATTACAAATTAACTATTTATCTAGCATAGCTTAAGTATTTTTTTTTAATTTGAAGTTTAAGTCTGACAAAGTCATTAAAATGAAGTAAGAATTAGAAAGGAGTTTTTTCTTCAAATGGTATACAGCTGTTAATTTATATTATTCGCTGTTTCAAAATTGTTATTTGGGTTGTTAAGAACTGCCATTGCTTTTATTATTTTTGTTTGTGAATTTTAAATCACCTATTCTTGATTATATATTTTTTATTTTATCCATTAGCATTCAATCTAGTCTTTTTATGTTTTAATACTTGCATATTTTTATAACGAAAGCCAATCAGTGTAGTGTCGTTGCTTTTTCTTGATGTTTGTGTGTTTGTTTTACTTGTTATTGGTAAAAAGTTATTGCACTTAATTACATTATATACAGGGTCATTCAATTTAAAATTTCAAGTGTATGCCAGACATTAAAAAAAAAGCAAATAACTTTTATCTAATAGCTCATTGAGTTACAAATGCAAAGAATAACATCTACTGAAGGTCCTTTGCTAGTAGATCAAGTTAAAGGAAAGTTTCTAGATAAAGTGAACTGCACAAATTTAAAAGAATTTTATCTAAATTTCCAAATTTAAAATGGAGAGTTTACTTTTCCATTTTAAGAGCAGTTGATAAAAAGGGAAAATTTTAATAAAATTATTTCAAGAAACAATTGGAATGATTTCTTTGAGTTTTTGTTTCTATTTACATTATTTGAAAAATTCTTTAATATTTATTCTGTGCACTTTGCAGAGCTATTTTCTTCTACTTGAATCACTGACAGAAAGGTCCTATCTCAATTGTCCTTTGTGTTTGTGACCTGCTTCTGTTACATATTAAATTATGTGTTTTTGCATGCCTGGCCTACCCTTAATAATATATACACAATTTTGAATCCTGTAAGTTCTACTTAATGGGCTTGTATTGACTTAAAAAGAAATACGTAATATTAGAAAGTCCTTAGTAATCATTTGAATTTTTGTTCACTCGTGCCTTCAAATGTTATAGCTAGTTAAACTGAATTATATGTATTTGTTTATTTAAAAAAAAATTGAGTAAATAATTTATTTCTTAATTTAAATATACAAATGTGAACTGTAAAGGGAACAAAGTGAAAAGTAAGCTGTTATTTAATACAGAAATCTACATATCTCATTTTAATCCCATTATGTTGAGTAGAGCTAATACTATTGTAATCAAAACGTTGAATGAACAAGTCTGGCCTGGTGAACATTCTTGCCGTATGCTCTTAATCATTTCTTGATCTAAATATTTTCTATGCAATTAGGTAACCAGCAGTTATATGTATAAATTTTTTTGTTATGTGTTATGTAATGTTTTTAGCTCTTAAATGTTAGTTTGTTTAAACTGGTATTTAAAGATGTGGTATGTGTTTAAATTTAGTTTTCCCGCAGAAATTTTCTTTGCATTAATCATAAGTTTTTATTCTATTTTATTTACAAAAAAAAATATATTTAAATAGATTTTATAAGCTTGTAATTATTCTAAAATTTTATAGCAAATTTTAATTTGAAAGCTTTGTTTAGTTGTTGGTTATGAAACTGACTTGTGCATTTTTAGCTGTCTCGGATAAATTTTCATTCTGAAATGTTTGGCCTGTACTAATGAAATGGAACTGTAATTGTCAAGTTCTGCTCTCTATCCATATCACCTTCAATTTTATCAAATGATAAACTAAGCCTTAAAAGCAGGGTTTGCTGTCTACCCAGGTACTTGAAGAAGGGGGGAAAAAACACTAATTATTTTTTTAAATACCCACCTATAAAAATTTATTTAATTACCTGAAAGAGCCTTCTTGTTGTTTCAGTTGCGCTTTTTTTCCCATGAATCAAAAGCTGGTCTACAAACTATTGTTTTAAACAAATAAGTTCAATTTAATGATGTAACACAAAAATCTAATTATGAAACACTCTATATATTTGTAATATATGGTAATCATTAAATCTGAAATCCTTTATAATAACTATGCAATTCTAGATACATAAAAAAAAATTTCAATGATTTTATTTTTAGGGAAAGTATTATCTAGTTGATTATAATTTATACGTTTTAACTGTTTATAATAACAAAAAAGTCCAGCAACTACAACTTTTTCAATTAAAAAGCAGATTCTATTTAGCAGTCCTGATCCTACCCAAGAAATTGATTTATACTGGGAATTTGAGATGTGACATAGGGCGTCCTATATTATATTATTATAATTATGATAATTCAATATTTAGCGCAAGTCTTAAAATTATTCTGCGAGTAGTGTTGCAATAATTTTTTTTTTTTTCCAAATCATTTAAAATAAAGATTGTGTTTAAAACATCAGAAATTATTTTGCAGTTTCTAAAGTATTATTATTGAGAGGTATGTAATTAAATATGTTTTAATGTTTTGATTAAAGGCAATCCAGTATTCTACTTTATAAATAAAATGGTTAAGTATCTTTAATTTTTTTTTTTTTCAAATAAAGTGAATTAGTTTTAAAATAAGAATAGCCTGGGTTTATACAAACTCTGCTTAAATGTATCTAAATAAATTTGCTGGCATTATTTATAAATTTATTTCACATATTATTAGAATTATTTATAATCTCTGTTACTAAATTTAAGTTATGGAATATAATTTTTTTAATGATTTTTTTTGATATTTTCCATCTCAATATCTTTATATTTTGTTTTATATTTTGGTGAAGTTGGTCTATAGGTTGTATATTCTTCAATTGTTGCAATTTATTGTTTGTTTGAAATTAAATCAAAATTTATTTTAAAAAAATGTTGGCTAAGAAACAGATCAAGTCTGTGATATTTAGTTTAATGTCTTAATTATTTAAGGAACTTGTTGTTTTTTCTTTCACAGTTTATTGTGGTGTATATGAAGAAAAAAAATGGATTTTGTACGAAATTGTATGATGTAATGCTGATTCAAAACATTAATAAAATACCTGTGATAGTATGCCTTCTTTCTTCCTATAATTTTTAAAATTATCTTGTCTAAAGTTTTTAGCTTTTTAATTATTCCAAAATTATGAATATATTTTTGTTTTATATATAAATATCATACATTTGTGCAATTTATAAAATTGTGGTGGTAATTAAAAAATAAGTACACGAGTACTTAGGTCTTCAACAAAAGACAATAAAACTAAAGTTTTGAATAATTTAAAATTTACTACAAATATGGAAAAAAACAAAATTTTAGGGCGGGTGGCCGATACCGAAAAATATTTTGCTTTATTTTTTATAATTATCGTTGTAAATCTTAAAGAAATTGCAATCAAAAGGATTGGTAAAGTTATTAATTCTCAAGTAAATTACAAATTTAATGAGTTATAATTAACGTAATTTAATTTTCTTAAATTTTTTTCTCAATTTTAGTTGATTAGATTAAAATTTCTTGCTATGAAGTTTTGAAGAGACAAAAGCAAAGAAGGTTGTGGTGCTAAATTCTCCTATTTCATAAATCGTAATTTAAATTACCTAGAGTTTCGCTAATTGACTTAATTGTGCGCTTAATATGCCATGTATCTAACAAAAATGTCCTAGTTTTCTGGTAATTTCTTTTAAAGTGAGAGAAGTTTAGTTGATACCAGCAAATGTTTTTGAAACAAAAATTCTGTACAAAAAAAATTTGAAGTATTTTGGTTTGTTTAAAATGTAAACTTTTTTTTTAAAGAATTTTTTTGTTAAGGCAATTTCAATGTAACAGAATAATATAGATTTTTTTTAAAAAAATGCGTTACTTCGTTGCAAATAATCTTAAAAAATTACACAGGGATTCAATTAGTATGTGATCGTAAGAACCTTCACGAATTTCTTTATTAATAATAATAGTTCTTTAAGCTATTTTACTTAAAAAAATTAGTTAACTGTTGTAAGTTAACGGTTGTAAGAGGCAAACACAGATTGCCTATTTTATTTTTCATTGGCAACTTCGTGTTTTTTTCTTTTAGCCAAAATATTTTTCCTATTTAGAAATATTATTATATCTGGATGTGAGATGAAGTCAAAGAAATTTTATTTTTTCTTCGTTTCTTTTTACCTTAAATATTTATAAAATAAAAATTTATTTCTCATGGAATTTAATTGGCAACTTAGCGCTTTCTTTTTGCCAATGGCTAAAATATTTGATATTTGGAAATATTATTATAATAGCTAGATTTGAGATAAAGTTTTAAAAAAAAAAAAAATTTAATTTTTTCTGCCTTTCTTTTTACCTTATATATTTATTTTTAAGATAAAAATTTATTTCCCATAGATTTTTTTTTCTCTTTTGCATAAAGGTGTGACCATTTGTAAACTAGTGAATAAGAATATATAAAATGAACGCAGCACTTTATCTCGTTGCGTGATATGAAATCGCGATCCGTAAAAGATAAAGCGGAAATGAAAAGAATTTCTTAAAATTCAAATACCTTCCCTCCCCTTTTGTTAACTCTTTCTTTTCACACTATTACTTGAAGGACATATGGCTCATTTCGTTTATTTGCTCTGTTGCTCATGAATGGGCTTTTTATGTCGTTTGTTTGCTTTCCCAATAGAATAAAAAATATTTCTCTCAAAATCATTTTATTATTTTGCATAGACAGGCTGTTCTTTTATTTGAAATTACGATTTAAAATAGCAAAATGAGAAAATAATAGGAAATAATTCAGAATTGTCTTTTTATATTTGACTCGAATATTAAATATCAGCAATACTATTAGATTTTTTATCTAAAATAAGTAAAGATGTTTACGAACCATTAATAAAATCTTTTTTGTTTTCTACTTATATCTTTAATAAGAAAGACATCTTATAAATGTTTTTTTTTTCAATGTTTTTAACATCCCTCCTCCTCTTAGTCCCAAAAAAGTCCCACTTTACCATGCATTATTGTCACATGTTACGCTATATTACATAAACATTCACTAGCAAGATCAAGAAGACTGGGATGGGCACAGTTGGCCTTGGCCCTCCATGGACTGTCACGCCACTGAGTTTAGTAGTATTACGAGCAGTTCGGATGCGA